CTTTTCTCTTATCTTTCTTATTTTTATTTTCTATATCTTTTATATCTTCTAAATCTTTCTTTATATCTATCTTTCTAACTATAATATACTATAATATATTAGATAACTTTATAACTTTTTATATCTCTAAAATATATAGATACTATATACTACTTATAGTACTAGCTATAGTAGCTTATAAATATAAAAGTAGTAAGTTTAACTTTATAGAGTATATCTTAGTAGACTAGTAGTATAAGATAATTATAGATAAGACTACTATATATACTAGGCTAGTTTATAGATTTAATATTCTTAATACTATATAACGCTATATATCTAATACTATATTTAGAATTTATATAGCTACTTTAGAATCTATTACTATAATAGTAAGTAGTAGTTTTTTAAAGTATATAGACTTTACTAGTTTATAGTATTCTTATTAGCTAGACTTTATTAAGGCTTTATACTATAGCTTACTTTCTTTAGTCTAAACTAACTTTATAAAGAATATTATATAATTAAGTAAATATAAGGCTTAGATACTATAAGTTCTTACTATAGTAGAGAATCTTTTTAATATAAAAGCGCTTTAAACTACTTTTATAGCTATACTTATAGCTTTTATATAGACTAGTAATTAATAATAATAATAATAACTATAAATCTATAATTAGGCTAATAATATAAGTAAAATAGATAATTTAGATAATAAAGTAATAATAGCTTATTAATAAGCTTATAATAGAATATATAACTAGTATAAACTATAAGTATATTTAAGATCTTTCTAGAGTATTTAGCTAGTGTATTAGGCTATAAAGAATATATAGCTTTTTTATAGTACTATAGATATATTACTACTAATTCTAGAATTTTCTTAAGCTTTTAAGTAATTATAACTATAATAGAAGTAGTAGTAGTACTTACTTTTAAGAAAGACTGCGTATAATATAGTAGTACTACTACTACTAGATATTATTTATATATTATTAGTAGTAATAAATAAGTTAATATAGATTATAAGTCTTTATTATAAATATATAAGAAAGAAAAGTATAAATAGATAGTAAGAGGCGTTTAAGTCTATTAGGCTTAGTTTTAATAGCTTAAAAGTTTATTTATTAGTTATAATATAGTATAATATTATAAGATATAACGTAGTAGGCTCTGTCTCTAAGGCCTAGAGAGAATTACTATAGTAATAAAGTTATTACTAGCCTATAGTATAGACTAATATTATACTTTCTTATATAACTTTCTAGTTTAGACTATAGCTAAAAATAACTAAAAATAATATAATATATAGTAATAGGTATACTACTAATAGAACTTACTATATATATTTTTTATTAACTATAACTATAATATTATCTCTATTTACTAATAACTATAATATAATAACTATTTTTTATACTTTTACTAGCTTTAGTATAACTTTAATACTACTACTATTTATATAATAGTATTTTTCTACTAGAAATAACTTATAAATACTTTTTTATCTTTATTTTATTTCTTATTACTCTTTCTAAAAATCTTCTTTAATATAGTTTACTACTAGTAAATATAACTTTTTAATACTTTACTTAGATATAGCTTTACTTCTATTTTAATTATATATATAGTAAAGTAAATAAAAATAGTATTTCTACTCTAGAGAGAGTACTTAATTATTAATATACTTAGAATAGACTTTTCTAAAATTTATTAATATATAGATTTTTAGCTACTAAGTAATTTATAATATTAAAATTTAGCTTATAAAAGAACTACTTTATTTTATTAATAAAATTCTTAAATATAAAGTTTTAATAAAAAATAATAGTAGAATCTACTTACTTTAAGAACTTATAAAAGATATATATAATGTAATAGCTATTAATAGTTCTAGTAGAAACTATATTACTAGTAATATATACCTTAAGAGTATATATAATAGTAGTAGTTATAAGAATAATAAAGAAAGTTTTAAAATTTACTATAATACTATCTCTTATAATAATTTTAAAAGAACTTATATAGTAATAGTAATATAATTTAGAAGTAAGTAATTAAAGTAAATTAGAAATAAAATAATTTAGTTAAGTATTAGTAAGGTAGCGTAATATAAATAGAAATAAGATTAGTTTTAGACTTATAATTATCTTAAAAACTTATAAAAGAGTTATTTAGATAGTATAGCTTTTAGTATTAGCTTTAAGGTACTATTAGTATTTTTAATATATTTTTAGAGTTCTAAAAGTTATAAAAATTTAAAAAATAGAAAAAGTACGCTTCTACTAAAATTTTAGTATATATATTTTAAATATAAACTTTAAAAATATATTACTCTATTAGTTATAAGCTAATAAGCGTATAAAATTATATTATAATTTTTTTAGAAATTAGAATTAAATTTTTTTTATAAAGTACTTTAGTATTAAAATAGCTAATTAACTAGTCTAAAAAGTTTAATAGCTTTAACTACTTTAGAAATAGTAGCGCTAAAGCTTTAAGCTTTAGTTTATTTACTTTTAGAGTACTAAAACTTTTAGTTATATATTTTTTAGTATACTAGTAATAAACTTTACTTTTCTAGAACTAGTTTATAAGCTATAGAATTATTAGTTTACTAATAAATAATCTTTTTTATTATTAAGTTAATCTTTAATATTACTTTCTAATAAGATTATTAAACCTTAAGAGTATACTATAGTATAATTATTATACTTATATAGGCTTTATATAGTTTAGAGCTTTTATACAAAGCTTAATAGAGAGAGGTTTATAATAGAAGTAATAGTAAGAAACTTATGTTAATATCTATCTAACATGTTAAGCCTGTGTAAAGCTCTAGCCTGCGTATCGCGTACTATTGTCGCATCTTCTACAAGGTTAATTAGGCGCATTTTGCTAGTGGCTAAGACACTAGATATTGCTATGCGGTCATGTTGGCACGCGTTAGCTCCTTCAACCGGGCGATGTAGTCGATAGTTCTGTGGCGAGGGCGATGCAGAGCTGTGCCGTGTGTAGTGCAGGTCCCGTGTGCAGGCGCTGTACTGTAGCAGCCTAGATGCTATAACGACGTACGCGTTCTAGTAGTGCACAGATTGTGCTACGTTCGCACCTGCAATAATCCCGCACTAGCCGAAACAAGCGGAGGGTCGGGACCTGCACGCTGGAGGTGGCACGTCTTTTGATGCGCCTGCGGCCACCTCCAGCGCTGCGCAGTCTCAGGGCCTCTACGCGTGCACGGCCACACACACCATAGCTGCGCGCCCCTGTCATAACACACCCTCTGGCCAACACAGTCTATCCATTAGCTCGAGGCAACAGAAAGCAGGAAAGCCACTCAGGAAGACCGCTACGATTTCTCATGCACCGTCTCGTGTAAGAGCAGCAGCCCGGGTGGTTCAGGTCCAGCGTTGCTCACATGCGCCATCATCACAACCTAGGTAGCGGTGTGATGCTTACATAGCGGTGTGATGCTTATATGATATTCACCATCACATGCAGATGTCTCTTGGTCATTCCCACCCATCGCCGGCAAGTCTATGGGTGCCTATACTCGTACAGTCTCATCCCGCTAGACAGTCGCTCTTGCATCGCTGTATCGTGGGGAAAGAACAAACCCAAGGGAGGAAAGCCTATGGACGGGAACCCTTCATTATTACAAGATTCGTGGGACGACAACGCTGGTAAAGTACCTTGGACCGCATTCAGATGCATGTGAGGTCGCTGTGCACCTTACCTTCTTACCATGTTTCGCCAGCTTGAGCATCAGCACACACGCTTTTAGCTGCATTCACGATACTGCTGCCTGATCCCTCCTTTAGTCTCTCAATTTTTTCACATTATCATGTAATATCTGTATTCACCAGACTACCCTTCCTTTACGTTGGCGTTCCCAACAAGCCTTCACGAGGACGAGCAGCGTATGCATCGCGCCTATTCTGTGTTCTTCAACAAAGCCCGGATGTGAGTATAAAGCGTTTCTTTCGCTCACGTACTAACATTTGAATTTCGTATTCTTTGCGAGATTGTGCTAGACAGCGTGCTGCTTCCTCGAGAGATGACATTGCTGGGAAGAAACTGCCCTCTGCCCAGTGATCAAGAGATGGTGGTATCAGAAGTGGTTGTCTATGTGCACCTTTATTGCGCGAGGGTATAGATTCCTCAGAAATCGTCAAGAGAGAAAACAAGTCTGAACGCGGTGATGCAAGGGCGCAGAGGAGCTAAGTGTCTCTTGCATGTAGAAATAGCTTCCTCCGCTCAGCGGGACCGCCGAAGCCTAGACACCATGGTAGACGACCTATTCCTGACCAATCTGATTGCTAACTTCGCTCAGATACGAAAGGCCAGCCTGCTTCAGGTGTGCAAAAGTATGATGGAAGGGCAAAAAACCTATAGTCCAAGCTTCTCACTATCCAGACGGAGTGGCAAGACAAGCACACGTCGGACTATGACACGATTCTACATGGTTGCAGCATTCAGGTGTGGGATACGCCGTCTCACATGGCGCAGCAATTGACGAGCAGTGATTCCTGATTCATGATCTTTGCAGGGAAGAAGCTGACGCCAATAAGTTGCCTGAACTCAACCGTCGAGAGAATGTAAGACAGCTCTGGACGTGGCCCATTGATCGAGCGAATCTCAATCAGCCCCGCCGTAGAGACCCCGTGTTCGAATATACAGATAACACCCATGCTGTGCAGTGCAGCAGTGTCGTTAGAAAGGCTCATGTTGACCACACCAATCACGCCGGGAATAGTGAATACATCGCTGGAAACGCGCACGCCGAGAGTACAAACAATGTCGATAACAATGATGAAACTACTGGAGACATTCACCTTGAATTTCCGAACAGCGTCGAAGGCAATCAGGTACCAGCAAAGTTTATTTAGCGGCGGCGGGAGCAGACTGTATAAAGAACTGCCCGCTTAGCAGTAGCCAGAAACTTACAACTCATCTCAATTACAACCCCGCAAAGTTGTTGACATTGAATCGCCGACCGCACTTGAAGAATTTTCCACACAATGGTTCGCATTACAATCAACATCAGCGAGCTCGACGACAACGGCGGCGTCTACATAGAAGGCCCAACTTGCACCTCCGCACATGCGACATCGCATCACGAATCGGGTAACTTCAGTGCCGGTCATGTGGGTACTACTGGTGGACCCGGATTACCTGGAGGAGCCAGATCTGAAGACGGCACCCAAACTACCACCGATCGTTACACGGGCACACAAAGCAACTTGGGAAGGCAAGAGTCTAATCTTGCTACTCAACAACCTCTTCCGTCGACGACTGGAATGACTCCACCCGTATCCGACTGCCCCTTTCAAGAGTCCGCAGACCTGTTAATGACTAGACTTGATCGCCTAGAACTACTGATCGAGTCGACAGAACGATCGAGAACTAGACGCCCAGCACAGGGTCTGTTGTCTTCTCGTTCTCTCGCAAGTGCGCCTGTTCCGTTTAGTCAAGAGACACTGCATCAACAACGCCAGGATCGTCTCGATCGGGGTCCAAATATTGTTGACATCCACGATAACGACTTTCACCATAACGTAACTCGTCCTCTTGCCCTTAACGACAACGAGTTCCACGAGCCGCCAGAGCAATACCCGGAACAAAATCCAGGACAGTTCCTAGCGCAGTCCATAAAGAGCGGCATAGACCGGCCGCTTCAACCCGATGCGCAAGAAGACCCAGATCCGTACACGATGACCGGCGCAGACGGGCCACTTCAACCTGATGCGGAAAGAGAAGATACGTACGAAATGACCGGCGCAGAGGGGCCGCTTCAACCTGATGCGCAAAGAGAACCAGATCCGTACACGATGACCGGCGCAGACGGGCCACTTCAACCCGATGCGCAAAGAGACCCAGATCCATACATGGAGAGCAGGATGGACAGGCCGCTTGGGCACGATAGACAAGATGCTCGAGCTCAGTCCATGCGGAGCGAGTCCTATAGGCCTCTAGATTATCCTCCTGACAATCTCGAGCCCGAGTTCGACCCTGTACGATTATGCCTACTTGGCATCATGTATTTGGTTTACATCATCGTTGTACCCGTTGTCGTCGTTGTCGCAGCAGACTGGCTCTTTCCAGTGGACGAGCTCCCCCTTATTTAAGTCAACGATTTCACAGTTATAACAGTTTTCAAGGTCAATCAAGCGATTCCACGGAAGCACTTTCAGTGAATTGATAGAGCACAGCACCGTTCTAGATCTTGTTATAATCTACGTAGTAACAATGTATTTATCTCGAGAGAGTCAAAGTAGTATGCTGTACGAGAGATCTGTGACAAAAGACGCAGACTACTTGAGCTCAACTGCGCTGAACGTGACTGAGAAAAGTGTTGGGTGAATCCTTATTGCCTTACGTGTGAAATCATGGTGATCTAAGATGCCCTTCCACTCAAGTGCAGATCTACACTCAATACCAGGGCTGTAACAACCTGGCAGATCGGATTGTCGATGTCGGCAATTGTGCTTGTCGCAGTAGTCCACTCGACCGTCAAGCCAGTACATTGCTAGTATGTTGTCTCTCCCAGCTCGAGGCAGGATAGGGATAATGCTCATGGTTGGCGCTGGTCAGGTTATTCCTCGACGTATGCCGCCGATGTGAAGCCCAGGAGACCTCTGACACTGTCGCTGTCGGCCTGGACAGGCACGTTGAAGGTGAGCGCGTTAGTCACGAACTGCCACACCACTATTGGAAGCAAGTCGAGCAGAAGCAGTGACCAACAGTTATCCTGCCAGAGTGTGATGAGTAGCAGGCGGCAATTATGACTTGGATGATCTGAGCTTGATGAATACAACTGTAACCGTCAAAAGCTACCGCGACCGCAAGACTGATGTCCAAGTGCGTGTTGTGGAAGGTGGGGAGAAGTAACCTGAAGTAAAACTGGGCGCAGGGCAGGTGAAGAGATCGACGGTGAGCGATCCATAGCCGTGTGACATGATTGCGGTGTTACTGGGAGGCACGACAGCAATCACGTCCGTACCCGCATGACAATGGCCCCAGCGGGCAAACGACATGTTTCCAAGGCTCTCTCACTTCTGGTCGTAAACTTCAACCCGTTCCATCTGAATCACAGCATTCTTCCAACCGTGTCCATCGAGCAGCATTACACCACGCATGTGCGATTCCCACAAGCCAGGGGAAGAAGACAGCACTGCAGTGAGTCTACGACAAGCCCGCAAGCCGAACGAATCTTTGCTTGAAATTCTGCGCGACATGAAAAACTATCTTGACGATATCGAAGGATGCATCACGCAAGTCCAGCATTGGAGGATGGTAGAAAGCATAGGGAAAGGGGGGGAAAGGAGGGCCTAATTGCTCCGCAACCGCAGAGTCGCACATAGATACGCACGTAAAATATTGACGCCGACGACGAGGAAGGAGTTGAGAGCTATGATCAGCGACTATCGTGACCTTGCACTAATGAAAGAAGATGTTGAGGATATATAATGTTTTACAGAAGAACTGCCCGATCTTGTGGACGCACTCGGTAGACCTACGGAGCCGTTGCTGAGCCTAACACTTAGATTACTGAAGTCGGCGGAAGATTGGGAAGAGTAGAAAGAAAGGATGGCGATGGCAGCATGCGATGTTGTCGAGACGTGTTACAGATTATAAGCTCTGTGGCTTGACTTGCAGGGCAACAGCACGACTAGGGATGCGCTGTGGTTCGTTATGCCGCCTCTAGGAATTACTGAAAGACTTCTGAGTGGAGAGGGGCAACGCACCAGAAGGGAACTTTAGTGGAGAGATGACCTCTTCACGTACTTTAAAGACGCGATCGGGACCAAACGGGCGGCCAGGAGAGACATGGGGGACGAGTACGTGGACAGGACGGGACATCTACGACTACGTTTGGCTGAGCTTAAGATGCGTGAAATATTAAAGAGCGTGGAAGCGACGACATAGGCTGATTATACGTAGCCCATGGACTGGTTCGTCACAAGTGAGTGTAGTGGTGCTATATCGAGCATGCATGAAGGTTTGACGCTAGTACCAAATTCGCGTGGCGCAGTCTCGCCTCCACTGGTGCGTCATCGCCCGACGTCGACGGGTCGCGACACGCGCGTGAAGGCCAGGCGCAGCACGAGACCATGGAGCTCTCTGGCCCTAGCTGCTCTTCCTCGCATTGCTTCATACCCATCAGCGCGCATCAACCCACACATGCCATGCTCGACATGCCTTCTCGTCACCTCCAAGGCCAGATGCAGCAGCCCAGGCCGCCGCGACAACGGCGCAGGCAACATACGTGCTGCTGCATGTCTCAGCCTGCGCAGCGATGACCGACCAAGACAGCAACGCGCCCCAGGGCCTACCTTCTGTCGAGGGGCTGGCTGCTATCACCCTGGTCCGCCTTGCCACTACCGCCATCACCGACCGTTGACCAAACCAGATTGCAGAGGAGATTGCGCGTATAGATGACCTCCGAACCCAAGAGCGCTTGACCGCGCATCGAGCCTTCGAACAACATCCGCAGCCGCCTGTACCGAGTTTCCCGACGACCCAACATGACCGCGCACAGCAGCCTTCGGAAGAGGTCCAGGAACCTTCGCTCTCCCGACCCAGCCGATCGCAACGAGGTCTCCAACGATCCCCCAACATCGTGAATTACAGCCTCAGGGATAGGTTCAAAACCCAACAGGGCCACAAACAACAGTCTCCGGGCGAGGGCCAGCAAGCCCCTGCATCAAACGCCCCGACGCTGGACCACAACCTCGGCGCAGAGGACAGATGCGAGGAACCCGATCTCCCGAAAGAGACAGCCAAAACGATACAAGCGCGCTACGATGGGCTGAAGAAATCCCGATGTTCTGTCGCGCATTGGGGCATCTGGCGCCAGACGAACCCTACGCCGCATAAGCGCTTTGTCCCTAATCTCCGTACCCACAAGGTCACGCTAGATGACAAGTCCTTCCAACTCGACCGCTTATTCTCCCACGACGCCACACCGGGCGACATCTTCGCTGAGCTTGAGCCATGGGTTCTCCATCTCTCTTCGAAGCTGGCAGAGGGCAAATACCACTGCCTTGTTCTTCTTGCCTTTGGATTCTCTTGTCTGGGCAAGACGCGGGTAATGACGGGCGACGCTGCAGGTGGCCCATTCACCTTGAACACGTCTGTGATCGGCTGCACATCCCAACTTCTCTTCGAGCACAAGCCACCAGAGGTTCGTGTTGTCAGACGATTGATAGAGATACGTCCAAGCGAAAATAAGCAGATTGAAGTATATTCTCTCGAGTGAGGTCGAGCAACATATCAAAGCGTCGTGACAAGTGGAAGGGAAGTAGATCTCGCCAGGTATTATCAGACACTGAGCTCGTGACTCACGAGGCTGCGATGAACTTCGTACATCGATGCGTTAAAGCCCGCCGATGCAGAACGACCCCACGCAACCTTCCCAGCTCGTCACGTTCGCATAGGTTTATCTACTTCGACCTTGTTGCCATGGGCGAGAATAGGGAGCTACTTCTAGACGATATTGATGATCCTTGTGATACCATCGTATTTAGCGATCTTGCCGGTGATGAAACAGGTGAAGTCGAAACAGCCGACATCAACGCGGGACTTGGCGGCAATACTAATACAATGCCGCTATGCTTGCTCACACCCGTTTCCCACGTTTGTCTTTGCGTCGATCTAATGACTCCCGCTCTTTGTCGCGCTCTCTCCGTTGTAAGATGCGTACGCAGCTGGTTGCCTGCACACTAGTCTTTTCCTCCGTCGCCGCGAACATGAGCAGCTTCTGTTGATCTCTTCACACATCTTCGTACCATTCGCTCGCTAGGTCAGTACATACACTCTTATCGTAACCCTTGCTGGCCTCTTCGCAGCCAACACTGCACTTGTAGCATCAGTCCATCATCTCTAGCTCTGCCGTCCGACCATCTTCACGATATCGATCGAGTCTGGGGTCGTCTTTCAACTACTCCATCACGCCAACCCATTCCAGTTCATTGCGCGCTTCCATCGCGCTCCGCGCTTGCAATCCACAACCCCGAAATCAACTCTCATCTTGATCGTGCTTGCATTGTCCTCACCTACACAACCCACCGCGCTAAACGCAGACTCCGGCCTGAACCTCGACAAAAGGTATCTTCATGTCTCTCCGATTCTCCAAGGTGCTTAGTATCATCATTACGATCATTATCGCATTCATCGCGCTACTCCTCGCAAGATTCATCGCAACGCATCGTCTGTTCCTATGCTTAGCTCCTTCCAAGTGGCTGGCGGAGCGATTATCTCGTCGGCCAGACTACTTTCAAGACCCCTGGCAATACGCTACAGCGCTATCGGGAGCAACGTTCAACTTACATGGGCTTGCATGATGGTGGTAACGTACTATTCTGCACTGAACTGGTGGCTCTTGGTTCACATTGTCATTGATATATCGGTATGCGTGGGGGCGTCGATGTACTTTTTCTGCCCAGATCAACTTTGTGGGCTGACCCATGGCGAGCAAGAGACGGCCAACAGCAAGACGCTCCCCCTAATGATGATGTGGAAGACGGTGCGAAGTAGATGCTGAAGAAGAGTTCATAGATTCTCATGGGGTCGACGCTAATCATTAGCCACCATTGTGAACAAGACGCTCAGTCTCCTGCCACTTATCAAGGAGCTCGCCGAAAATGTAGAGCTTCTTCTGTCCCTTCCTAGACACGTGCGCTAATTCAACAATAAACGCGTAAGGCATCTCCACCCGGACAACCCACGGCCGAAGAGCCGCCAGAGCTTCGCGAAGGACGTGTGCTCTTGCTGCCGTGTCTCGCAATGTATGCACTCCTTATCGGTACAGCCCTCTTTGTCTTCGGCGCCTGTGTATCATACCTTCGATCGGGGCAGCATGGAGAAGTTCGCGCGACGATACCTACGCCTCCCATGCGCAGCCTGAAAAAGTGAACTTCGACGCGACAAGAGGAGTACCTCTTCCATTAATGGCTTCAGTAGGCAAGATGAACGCAGTGTGCGGAGTACTGAGCATGTTTGAACTTGGCTTTTCGTCTTTGATTGGGTAGCTTTCGTGAAAGGGCAATATGGAGCTGGGATTCTTTCGTTCTTGGTGAAAAGCTTCGCATCAGAGTGTAGCCTCTCATATGGTTGTCTTAGAGGCCAAGAACGTGGTACGCGTTGGAGTGTGTGATGTAGTCACGGCGAAGGAGGCGCAACAGCAAAGTAGCAGGCCTGTTTATATCCCTCCTAGGCGACCTCCCGAGGTTTATATATGAGATCTGTATACGATTTAGATGCTCCAAACATGCATACCTCGGTCACAGGGCCAGGACCCGAGGGATGTCGCGGCACTTTCTGCCCAAGCTTTGAGCCCCAGCTGCATATGCAGTCTGCAGTCACTGGTCTTCACTCTACTTATGCCGTAGTAATGCGGTAGGTGTGAACGAGGATTTTTGTTTTTGAAACCATTGCTAGCAGTGAGTTCGTTCTTACGTGACATGGCTACCGATCTTGAAGTGACATGGGAAAGACGAGATACAAGACAAGAAGGTCGAACTACTCGCATCTAGCGAGTCCTTTGAGTTTGGAACCACTCCATAACCGTCACCATCTCTTTTTACCCTAACTGAGGTTAACACGTGCTGAACTAGATGTTCTAGTAGTGGCGTTCTGGGCTTGGCTTGTCTGGATAGAAGCCGTCTCCGCGTAGATCATGTGCGCGATGACCGTGCCGAATCTGCTATACGTGGGTTCATGGGTACATTGAAAGTCCGTACGAGAGACACAAGGGTTTTAGAGTGACGACTGATGTCCCACGCTAGAGCGAGGCGACTAGCCTCTGTGGTAGTAGAAAGTGTGCGAGGGGTGGGCTGGTGACGGCGGCAGAGGCACTCAGCTCACGTCGTCTGGTAATGTCGTAGTGACTTCGAGAACATCTTCCTCTTGTTGAGACGTTTGGCTTTCCTCGTAGATGGAGAGATGGATGGTTGGTTGGGTAGCGGCGCTGGGGAGGATCTCGGAGGATGTTATGCGATCGGGACTACCTAGGTATGGATGAACCACGTGGTACAGCGCTCTGCTTCGCCAAACTTGTGACCAGGGTCTAAGCATGAGGAGATGTCAAGCTCGATACAACGGCACTTGAGCTCTTCCCGTAAGTATTTCTACCGCGCTAGCAACGCGACCGCATCGCTGACAATCCAGGCGGTAGGGTGAAGCGCGGGGGACACGACGTTGAATGTTGTTTTTCTGAGATACAGTCTTGATTGTGGAGCACTGAAGAGCTGACGTAGGTCCGATGCTTCGCTGTGAGGACAAGACTGCACCGATTGCTATCTCAGCATGCTTCAGAAAGAAATTTGGGTGATATGCCGTTTAGTATGAAGGGGGTCAACATGCGGTAAGAACGATATCGATTCTTCACAGATCTGACGTGCGCAATACTATAAAGCACCATGTCTGGATGAATGGAAGCGTTGCACATGCAGCCCATGGCCTACATCGTACGTAGGCGGCCTGGCCTGCATCTTCCGCTAGCAAGTGATGCCCTCTGCAATAAGCTGAGCAAAGACTAGAAAGAAGGCAGGAAAGGAAGTGGCAGGACATGCATCGGGGTTTCGCATCGCGATCGCATTGGGTACAGTTCAGGGGAATACCCAGCGACAATGGTCACAGAGCATGCGAGCAAGTTCAGAGCAGCCAAAAAGAGTTTCTCTCTTAGCATAAAACATGACCAAATAGCTGAAAAAGTTCAACTTGAACACGTCTATCATCGCACCTTTCGGCACCGGTACCAAAGACCGGCTTCGGGGAAGACTTTGACCCTCAATAGCGCATCAATTCCGTGTTCGTCCACTTTGCTGCGAGAATGCCTTCACCGCTTCGTGGAGTGCAGGCGTCTAGGGGTCCGTTTCCGCGCTGCGCGTGCAGATGCAACTCTCTACCTAAAGATAGCGCGCTCAGCACTCCCTGTCATTGCGAAGATGATTACACGACAACCTCATTCACTGCGATTTTCTAGCGTCGGACTAAGGCCTCCCGCTCTTTCCCACCGCGTACGTCCCGTTGCAGATAGGGCGCAATAGCCAGGCACGTCATGCTCGAGCTTCGGTGCGGTCGGCGTAGAGTGTGACGCTCACTAGCCATTCCGACGACTAGGTAATAGGAATCCAAGCGCGCGGTGCAACGCTGTGTTTGTCGCCCTCACGCGGAGGCGAAGAATTTGGCACTCAGCCCAGGGACTTCCCAGCTTTCCGGGGCCCGCCCTCGCTTATCTGCGCCTAGAACCATCTCGGTCTAGTCCGGCGCTACCAGACACGGTCCTGGATCCTGCTGCTGCCGCCGCCTCTCCAACTTTGCTGTGCTACCCATCTGTCAGCCCCCAACTGAGCCATGCGCAGATAGGACAGATAGAAAGCGTGGCTGTGCATAGACCATCTCAAACTCGTGTGAACATGGCGCGGAGTACCTTTGCTTCCCAGTCTGGACTGGAGGTAGGTCGCTCATTCCAGGTGAAACGCCTCAGACGATTTGCTCTCGGAGTCATCGCTACACCCGACAATCCCTCTGGCCTGTAGGAAGGGCACTGGGTTCCTGGTGACCTTCAAGGACTTGGATGGTGTGCGACTTCCAATCTCGCCCAGCGCAACCTCCAAGATAGCGAGTCCAGTCCCATGCGCACGCTGGCGCGTTCGCTGGTGGCGGTAGAAGCCTGATATATCTTGCCACAAGGTTCGTAATTCCAGAGTCTACTGCCTCTTAATGTCGCCATGGGTGAGTATGTCCACCCATGAAGATTGGAGGAAGCTGGGGACCTTACCCTCCACCCTTTTAGACCGAACGATGTCCAACGCTAATAGTATCTGTTCTTTTGTTACATGCCTCTCGCCCACAAACTGCTAACTGTGCATTATGAGGCTGGGACGAAACAGTGAGGACATATCCTGAAGTAACCATGCTCGCGCCTCTTTCCATGCTATCTCCAGGAACTGTTGCAACGTCTGCTACTCGCACATGGTTTCTAAGCAGTACGTCAAGCACTGCATATTGCCCTCGCCGTCCCCTTGCCCATGGTTGTTGCATCGTACTTCTATCGAAAGGCTATCGTAATCGAACGTAATTCTGGGTCCGCCTACATTGCGAGGACGGGGAAAGATGAGCGGTTGATGTATAAGCTCACGCTACAAGATGCCCATGGCCATGTCGCGTGCACCGGCGCATCTGCCCTATCTTTGGGACCAGATGCAAACGTGCGCACGGGGCTATCTCAAAGCGTGATGTTGGATGGGACCGGTT